AAATAAAATCTTAAAAAAAATAAAAATAAAAAAATTAAGATTTTTTTTGAGCAGTTTAGGTTTACAATAAAATCAAGAGGAGGTACAGAGATTTCCCATTTCTCCCTGCACCCACACATGCACAGCGCCCGTCCCCCACCCCCGTTACCAACATCACTCACCAGAGTGATATATTTTTTACAAAGAATGGACCTACATTGGCACATCATAATCACCCAAAGTCCGTAGTTTGCCTTAGGGCTCACTCTTGGTGTTGTATATTTTATGGGTTTAGACAAACGTATAATGACATACATCTATCATCATAATATCATACAGAGTGTGCTCACTGCCCCAGAAATCTTCTTTGCTCTGCCCGTTCATCTCTCTTCCCCCGCTGACCTCTGCCAACCACTGATCTTTTTACTGTCTCCATTGTTTTGCTTTTTCCAGAATGTCATGTAGTTAGAATCACACACCACGTAATCTTTTCATTTCTGCTTCTTTCTCTTAGAAATATACATCTAAGTTTCTTCCATGTCCTTTCATGGCTTAATAGTTCATTCCTTTTAAGTACTGAATAATATTCCATTGTCTGGATGGACCACAGTGTATTTCTCCATTCACCCACTGAAGGGTATCTTGGTTGCTTCCAAGTTTTGGCAGTGATGAACTGCTATTAATGACTTTCTGCAGATTTTTGTATGATGTAAGTTTTCAGCTCCTTTGGGTAAGTATCAAGTCCTATGATGGCTGGATCATATAGTGAGTGTGGTTAGTTTTATAAGAAAACCGCCAAGCTGTCTTTCAGAGTGGCTGCACCACTTGGCATTCCCACCAGCAATGAATGAGAGTTTCCGTTTCTTCACATCCTCATCAGCCTTTGGTGTTGTCCGTGTTCCGGATTTTGGCTATTCTAAAAAGTGTGTAGGGGTGTTGCTTTAATTTGCATTTCCCTGATGACATATGATGTGGAGCATCTTTTCATATGCTTATTTTCTATCTGAGTATCTTCTTTGGTGAGGTGTCTGTTAAGGTCTTTGGCCCCTTTCTTAAGCAGTTGTTTTGTTTTGTTTTTTTTTTAAAGATTTTATTTATTTACTTATTAGAGAGAGTGAGAATGAGAGAGAGAGAGAGAGAGAGAGCATACGAGAGGGGGAAGGGTCAGAGGGAGAAGCAGACTCCCTGCCGAGCAGGGAGCCCGATGCGGGACCCAATCCTGGGACTCCAGGATCATGACCTGAGCCGAAGGCAGTCGCTTAACCAACTGAGCCACCCAGGCGCCCAAGAAGTTGTTTTTTTATTGTTGAATTTTTAAGAGTTCTTTGTATATTTTGGATAACAGTCCTTTATCAGATGTGTCTTTTGCAAATATTTTCTCCCAGACTGTGGCCTGTCTTCTCATCCTCTTGATGCTGTCTTCCCAGAGCAGTTTTTCATCTTCATGAAGCCCCAGCTTATCAATTATTTCTTTCATGGATCGTGTCTTTGGTGTTGTATCTAAAAAGTCAGTACCATACTCAAGCTTATCTAGGTTTTCTCCTATATTATCTTCTAGGAGTTTTATGGTTTATATTTAGGCTTATGATTCATTTTGAGTTAATTTTTGTGCGAGGTATAAGGTCTATGTCTAGATCCATTTTGTGCTCGTGGAGGTCTGGTTGGTCCAGCACCATTTGTTCAAGAGACTATCTTTGCTGCATTGTATTCCCTTTGCTCCTTTGTCAAAGACCAATTGACTACATTTATGGGAGTCTGTTTCTGGGCTTTCTATCCTGTTCCATTGATCTATTTGTCTGTTCTTTCCCCAATACCACACTGTCTTAATTACTCTAGATTTTTTAAAATATCTTATTTGTTTATTTATTTGAGAGAGAGAGCAAACATGAGCAGGGAGAGGAGCAAAGGGAGAGGGAGAAGCAGACTCCACACTGAGCGTGGAGCCCAATGCAGGGTTCGATCTTACAACCCCAAGACCATGACCTGAGCTGAAATCAAGTTGGCCACCCAATTGACTGAGGCACCCAGGCACCCTTAATTACTGTAGATTTATAGTGAGTCTTATCATTGGGTAGCATCAGTCCTCCAGTTATGTTCTTCTCCTTCAATATTGGCTATTCTGGGTCTTTTGCCTGTCCATATAAACTTTAGAATTAGTTTGTCAATATCCATAAAATAACTTACTGGAATTTTGGTTGGGATCACACTGAATCTATAAATCAAGTTGGGAAGAACTGACATCTTGACAATATTGAGTCTTCCTATCCATGAACATGGAATAACTCTCTATTGATTTAGTTCTTCTTTGATTTCATGCATCAGAGTTTTGTAGATCTTACACATATTTTGTTAGATTTTTTTTAAAGATTTTACTTATTTGTCAGAGAGAAAGAGAGAGCACAAGTAGGAAGAGTGGCAGGCAAAGGGAGAAGCAGGCTCCCTGCTGAGCTGGGAGCCTGATGCAGGACTCGATCCCAGGACCCTGGGATCATGACCTGAGCCGAAGGCAGCTGCTTAACCAAATGAGCCACCCAGACGTCCCTGTTAGATTTATATGTAAGTATTTCATTTTGTTGGATGCTCCCTCAGGAGCTGTAGGGATGAATCCTTCCTTGGCTCCTCCAGCTTCTGGTGGCTGTTGGCCTTCCTTGGCTTCTTTGACTTGTGGACACATCAGTCTAGTCTTGGCTTCCATCTTCATATTGCATTCTCTGTGTGTCTCTTATAAAAATGCATATCATTAGATTTTGGACCCACCCAGGTAA